AACTTCATCTAGAGTGTGTCCGCAGTATGTTTCATAGATTCAACTCTTTAAACTGACCTTTTGGCAGGAATGCTCTCCTTTTTGAATATGTAAAGAAATGACCTGATGTTCCCTCTTTTACCTAGCCTATAATAAGTTCAATGAATCGTCGCTGAATGATGCAGAGCAATCAGTAAACAAAAGTACATGTGGGCACTCACTCTAGAATGTAAGTCATAAATCATGTAATAGTATAGTATTTAGAAAAGAAAGTGGTAAAAAAATATGTAGTATTGTATGCCAAAAGAAAATGTAAACATGAATGTTGAAATAAAGTCCAGAAAAAGACACATTATACAGTATAAAAAGTCATGAAAACGTAATAGTATAGTATATAATGTCGTATAATATGTTAAAAACATGTAAATATAGTGGTAAATATAATAACATTGGCCTCTAAATTGTAGTGGAGTAAAAGTATATAGTAGCAAGGAAAAAATAAGAAAGATACAGTATATGAAGAAGTTTTAGACGTATGAAATGATTCAACACTGTAGTTGCAGGAAATGTGGAATAACTTTGTTTATCTTGCTTGCATTGTTTTTCCTGCAGAATAACATATGCAGGATAACTAAAGCCCTTAAATGCCTCAAATGATTTATAATCCCATTCCTAGCTTCATGTCAGCCGGATTCAGAAAACAGAAAAGCTACATTTTAAGGGCCACAGTATTACCTGGGTTAAATTCTTGATTCTCCTGCTCACATTCATCCTCTGCTTGCTGACACGTTATCAAAGCTCTGATAGCAGTTATCTTTCAACATAACCAGAACGATCTTGTTAGACAAAAAAAAAGCCTCTTCCTGGTCAGTCATTAACAAATGATTAGAGGCAAAGCACACAAACTCAGAGAGGAGTCAGTGTCACGTGTGTTCACGTAACAAGTGTGGTGTCTTGAGTGTTGTCATCCTGGTGCAAAGACTAGTTCTGCCAAAATAAACAGAGGTGCCTCTTCAGAGGTCGCACACTGTACCGTCAGACTGGCTCATGTGGTATAATCTAGATCTGTTTTTCACATTAACCTGTCCTTGACCTCTGACCCTTTGTCTTCTACGACAGGCCAATTCTAAGTAGATGTAGGTGCGCTCAAACCAAATAATGTCACAGTATGCTTTCTAACAAAACCTTGATTTTAGAGTGAGCTATCACCGTCTGGCACTGCAAAAAGGAATTGGAGTAGCTACTTGCAGCTGCAATACATCTATCAATAAACAATTAATCAGCAACAACAACATACTGTACATTCTCGATGTAAACAAAGTGATTACAGTATGAATAAAATAGTGAAACCAAGTTTAGCAGAATAGTTTTGCTGCCCAACATCAACCCCACTTTTCTCTCTTGCCAGCACATTTTGTGTGTCTTGAGATAATTAATCATTCAGTTAACTCTAAACAACAAACTAAATACAAGTCAATGTCCAGTTGTGTTTGTTTATCCTTCTTCTGTAATTCAGTCAGACAACTCACGTGTTCTTAATATGTTTATTATAGCAGCATATAGTTTGAGTTTGGCGTCTAGGCTCGGGCCTCATCACTCCACAGATTTACAAAGAACATTGAGTGATGATTAGATAACTATCCCCCGAGCCTACAGGTGGAAGCTGGGGTGGAGCTGGGGTGGTGGTGGGTCAGGCGAGCAGCAGCAACATGAAACACAGCAGCAGGAACATGAACATGAACGCAGCATTAGCAAGTGAACACAGCAGTGGCAGCAGCAGCATAAGCGAGGCAGAGGCAGGAAGACCTGGCAGCTTAAATAGAGCGGCATGTTTAGGAGAATGTGTTTGGTTGGTTGTAAGAGGGACGAGGTGCGTCACGTGTTAATGTATCATTGGTGCTCGAGTTGCCTGCCTGAACTAGCTCGCAGGCTTCGCCCCATTTCTGGCAAACTTGCCTAGGACTTTAGACAGAACAGATTTACAAAAAAAGGCTTATCTGATTTAAAGAATCCGCTCAAAGCATTTGAGTGTTTGAAAACTAAAAAGACTAAATTCTGCCAACACAAAAAGGCCAAACAAAGGCCAGGAGGTAGTAGGAACATCATTATGTATCTAGATTATAGCGGGTTTCTCATATATTCGTTATGCCTTACAGATTACAGTGAGTGTTGGGCTCCTTAATTGGGCCCCTAAGGAGTATGAACTCTGTGGATTTAACTAATTATTTGCACTGTTTACTTTAAGCTAGCCTCAGGTTGTTATTTCTGGCAACCTTTATTTTATCGTCTCGGCTCACATCTAACTAGTTTATTGCAATATGAAATAGTTCATTTTGGGTAGGCTGTTTAGGCAGGGCAAGAACTTGAATAGTATATTATATAAATTGGCTTTTTATTTGGTGAATTATTTCGTTTTAAATCCCACTCAGCACGCAGCCCCTGACTATCCAGGTTTGATTTGTTTCTGCTGGCCTACGGGAGGATCGGCTTCCTAGTTATGGCATTCATCTTTATATTAACACAGCTGTTTCTTATGGTCACCCATCTCAAAATTCATGAAACATGCAATTACAGCTTACATTGGCTCCATGGTTTATGAACTGTTGATCATGCTTTTTGCCTTGCTGGTTTTGTTCTTAATGATGCTTGAATCAGATGGCATAACATTCACTAATAAGAGCTTGTTAATCTTCTCCCCTAATTTCATAAAGTTATCACCAGCTGAAATCAGAATGAGAGATGCAGAGAAAGGGTTAGTCTCTCTGCTCTGTTTACACAACAATAAAGAGACATTTGTTTATCTCATTGTCTGCAGAGCTTGTGAGCCACATGAAAAGGTTCAGTCTGTGTCTGGGTTCAGATTACAGACCCATTGTTTCCACAGGCTCCTGTTTGTGAGCATCTCTTGCACACACAGTGCAATACGCTCCCTGATATTACACTGAAACACAGGCACAGTGTTGGTCACCTTAAAGGCTACCAGCTATCGGAGAGACACATCTTCATTATTTGATCTTCTCTCAGGAAATGGCTCAGTATTTTCTGCAGTTGTGTACCGAGACAAGAGCCTCAGGCTGGGACTTTGATGGAAAAGAGCATTTAGACAACAGGTGACTGTCTGCTCCAAATGCAATTACGGTCAGTAATGGAAAGTTACTAAATGCATGGTACTGTACAGAAGTACACATTTGAAATACTTGTTATGGTACTTTGAACTACTTTCCACTTCATTTCAGAGGGAAATATTGTACTCTTAACTTCAAGACATTTCTTCCACCTGTAGTTGATGATTTTGTTGATTAGTATGCAAAGTATTATGCATTTCTAAAGAATTAATAACACAGCACTGTATAAAGTAGTAGACATTAGCTTCACCTCAACAAGCTTGCATTAGAAGTCTGCTCATTTTATAATAAAAGGCATTATGTAGCAACAATTAAATATAATAAAAAAAACTAAACATCAGTTTTTTGTGCAACATCTTAATTTGCATAATTAACTATTGCAGTCGCATAGTAATTTAAAACAATTACCTTTTGAAATGTAATGCAGTAAAAGGATGAAATTGAAGCAGTTAATTACAGTACTTAAAAAATGTACTTATTTTAAGTGGAGTACTAGACTTTATGTATTTATGGCGCATTTCCACTGCAGGTCCTCGCACGGCTTAGTACGGTATAGTTAGGCCTTGGTAGGCCAGGCTCACTTTATGCTGCGTTTCCATTACAGTTTAGTAGCTGGGGTAGTAACTATAGTAACGCAGTGTAGGCGGAGCCGTGACGTCATCTTCAATGCGAAACACAAAACCAACATCAGCCGTTAGCTGTTAGCACTCACAGCTCCTCATATCTGTTCAGAAACTAGACAAAAGTTAAACAAGTACACACCACAGACTGTCTGTGTCATGGCGAATACAGTCGCTGGTTTATTTATGTCTGTATAGGCCGTTGTTGTGAGTGTGGACGGTCGGAGCATATACTGCGTTAGCTTAGCCGATCTCCATTCAGAAAACACGCATTTTAAAAGGTTTTTCGCCTGCCGTCTGTCTGCAGACTTGTCAAAGCATTAATTCATGGTTTTTACTAACCGGTATCAGTATGTTGTTACTTCGGCATCATTTTGAAACGTGTATTACAATTAAATCACGGTAAAATATGTTCATTTTGTTGTAGTTGCCAGCGATTCTTTCACTAGTTTAGCATACTCAGCCCGGTTGTTGGCCCGGAAAGAACCTCGATTTTGGAGAGCCAGAAAACTGTGAAAAAGTACCGCTAGCTGGAACTACGCCTAGTGGAAACGCACGCTTAAACCGTGCTCCGCGCTGTAGTGGAAATGCGCCAAAGTCACTTTCCACACGAGAATTTACATTAACGTAAGACCAAAGAAAGCAGCAAAATATAGAACCATCAAATATTTGGCATTTTTTGCTTGAAAATGTATTAAAACCATTGATCCATATGAACAAATTAAATGAACCAACAACTAATTGCTGAAGCTCTGCATGCTTTACGTTCATATGTCATGGTTTCTAGTTAAATATATAATGAACAAGCTAACTTTGCTCAGAACATGATGTAAACAGGAATAGTTGCATCATTTTTTTTTCAGTTGACAACAACAACCTTTCTCTCCCTCTGTCCATAGGCTGCCCTGACCTGGCCTGGTCCCAGACAGAGCTGTCCCGGTGGGTGACGGGGGAGGGGGTCTCCCTAATTAAGGTCTTCTAGCTGCCATACAACATTTGATCCACAAAAGCAGAGCTGAAAGCAAAAGTGATGACAGTAATCACACACTGAAGCATCACACTGTACACAAGGGGTTAACAAGCAGTTTCCACAAGCTGTGAAGACCCTCCCATCATCCACTCCCCCCTGGACATGGACTGTCCCATGGATTCACAAAAGTGTGTATGTGTGTGTGCGTGTGTGTGTGTGTGTGTGTGTGTGTGTGTGTGTGTGTGTGTCCAGTGTGTGTGTTCTCTTGACCATATATATTGGGCCATGTGGACACACACGTGGAGTGTTGTAAAATAGACTGTGTAGTGGCTGCAGGGCTGTTTGCCTCCCTTATTAAATTACTCTCACAAAGAAGAGCTAGCAGGAATATAAAGCACCTTCAGATCTCTCTGAGCTGCTTGTGGAAGGAACTGAGGAATCTCTTCTCCCTGAGACTCTAGCTGACTACCTGGCCCTTCAGAAAAAATGAGTGACAGCCTGGACGATGGCTCTTTCATGTTCACGTCGGAGTCCGTAGGAGAGGGACATCCAGGTGAGTCTCCATTCAACTTTAACTACCTTTGGGTTAAACTGGGACACTGAAACTGAAGCGTGTGAAAGTGTTTACTAAGATATGTCACACCTTGGCCAAGTCTGTTGTAATAACAGTCTTAAGGAACCCCATCTTTATTTGTTTCTGTATACAGAGGAATATGTTAACCATTTTACTAAAACTGCAAATAAGGACAAATAAACATTACACAAGTTAGACGTCAAGACCAAAATAGCTCCACAGTGCTTTTCTCTCCAAGCATGGTTGGTATTCCATTCACAGTAACATGTGTTTACTGCCCCTCTCTCACACTCTCAGTTATGGGCAGCAGGAAATAAATGTGTGTGACGGTGGTGTAAGGTTACACGCTGGAGTAAAAGTATCTCTTTTTTGTGTGCACTATGCTGGGATACAACTGGCATGTTGATAAGACAAGTCAGTCAAAAATGCAAGTACATTGCTGCAACAGAACAAAGCTGTCAGCCTTTAAAACATTTTAATTAAATGTTGCTCAAGTCCAAAAAGTAACAATTCCATGTTGGTTATACTTACATTTAAGTCCACCCTATTTAGCATTTATCAGCAATATATCCATATTAACAACATGGTTTGTAACGGTCTAACTGTGATTGATTTAGCAGATGTATTTGTCAACAGCTGTAAATGTTCCTTAACAGGAGACTGCTACATTTTTAAGGGCATTTGCAAAAAATATAGGTGTATTAGGTATTTTTAGATGCTTAACTCTATTACAGTTTTCACATGTATTAAAAGTTTGTATATTGTTCATAGATGCTCAATAGGAGGACTAAAATAGTGTGCCCTAAGAAAGATTGTCTAACCAGAAACCATAAAAGCTAAACATGTGCTCTACCCTCTAAAGTTCTGCTTTTAGACCACCCCCAACTTGTGTTGTAATCATTTCACAAATATGTTACAAAGTCCTCTTTACTAAATCGATAATCAGTAAATGCAGCAGAGTAAAAACAGGTTGGGCAGCTTTACACACACTGACAGAAAAAGTGACAACTTTAAGCTCCAATTATTGAAAACAAATGATTAATTTGCAAAAATGATATTAATCACATTACAATTTTTCATTATTAATTGTAAGGGAAAGGTTTGAAACATGGCAAAAGAGAGGGCTACATCTTTGGTGTGTAAAATATCATACTTGTACTCTGTATATCATCGAGTAGACGTAACTTTAAGTTGTTCAGGTCTTTAAAAACGTTCACAAAAGAATGAAAGATGTTTACCAAAGTGGAAGACCTAGTTACCAGTGATAAAAAATTGAAAGAAAAGCCAAAATGCATGATAACCCAAAACCAACAAATATATTATAGGATCTTTTTAGCATGCAGCTTGTCTAACGGGAGTACTGTGAAGAAAAGCAGATGGCACTTTTTCTAGAAAACATGGCACGACCAACATTTTCATACCTTTTTGTTCACTACAGATGCAATTTACTAGCAGTAGGTTAATAAGGCATTGAATCACCGAGCAGCTTAAATATAAAAGTAAAAGGTTTAGCGCTTTACATCCCGCGTTTAGCACATTCACAGAGGTGTGTGGCCTTGGTGGAGAGCTGCAGCACACAGCATTGGTTTGATAACACCTCGAGGCCTGGGCTGTTCCCACAGATAGGGAACTTTTTGGACTGAAAGACATGTACACATACACCTGCACACAACTGCAAAGTCAACCTACAGTAACGATTAAAACAATCAAATGTTTTTGGATTACTCCATATTTGAAAATGAGTGCTATAGTTTGAGGTTCTCAGGGTCGTGTTGAGCCGATGCAACCAGGTGTTTGTTGTTGTTTCTGATGTAACTCGTGTGTTGCATTGCGTCAGCAGGAGGACAGAGAGAAAGATGAATGGAGTAGTTTGAGAGGCATTATCCTGCTGCTGCACTCAAATCCAACATGTTCGTTTTGAAATATAAATATTTAACCTTTAAGATAAAAATCAGCAAAACTTATAGTTATTATGCTACAATATATATTGTTTTTTCTGTTCTGCAAATACTGGAATCTATTGCTTCAGAATCTCATATAAACTGGTGGCCTTTATGTTAACCTGCTTGTTTTTCTCTACAGACAAGATCTGTGACCAGATCAGTGATGCTGTCCTGGACGCTCACCTGAAGCAGGACCCAGATGCCAAAGTGGCCTGTGGTGAGTGTATGAGATATTCTATGTCGATCAAGGAAATATAAATAAAGTGCAGACAAAACTAGCAGAACACATTTTTGATATTTTTTATCTATAGTTATGGATTGTGACAAAAAACTGCAAGATCCAATAATATCCCAGTACAAGTAAATGTCCTGAATTCAAAATGTTAATTAATAACAGAATATTAATCAGCAAAATGTACTTAAAGTATCAAGTGTTTATTAGATATTCTTTTAAGGACAAAGGGCAACATTTGGTAAGTTTTGAAAAAGATGAGTGTAAACAAACATAATTGTTTTTGCTGAGATTATTTATTGTATCTCAATATCAACCTCTGAGGGTCTGAAGATTACCTCTCAGCAGAGCGACGCTGTGTGTGTTCTGATAACTGCAATTATGGCGTTGCAAAAATAGACCCATGAATAGATGTTCAGGTCTTTAAACGCATATGTAATGTATTGATTTGACAGAGACGGTGTGTAAGACTGGCATGGTGTTGCTCTGCGGAGAGATCACATCCCGGGCCAACGTGGACTACCAGAGGGTGGTGAGGGACGCCATCAAACACATCGGCTACGACAACTCTGAAAAAGGTGAGAGAACAACTTGAACGTTAAATAAAATAGAGGTAAAATATGCTCTGTGTGTCAGCCTTCTCCATCTCATTCTCTTTCCTTCCGTAGGTTTTGACTATAAGACCTGTAATGTGCTTGTGGCTCTGGAGCAGCAGAGTCCCGACATTGCTCAGGGCGTCCACGTTGACAGAGAGGAGGAGGACATGGGAGCTGGGGACCAGGTACAACAACAATAGAAATAATAATATATAATAAGCGACAGAAAAATAAAGTTCAACGATGCCATGTTAGCAACCTCAACCTGTTGACTTACCTTCATCGGGGAAGCAAAGTAGGGCAACTTTTTCCCTTTAACCTTTTTAAACATGGTCGGTAGGCACTTTTGGGTGGTTGGCTAGTCTATGGTCGGGACGTATTATTTCGTGTTCTTTGGTGTCAGTTTGGTGTGTAAGGAAACGCAGGTTAGGCTACTAATTGTTTAATGCTATATTTATTTTAAAATATTTTCACCTACATGAGTGCACTTTTTATTTATTATCTCAGCCTATATCTGACTCTTCAGAGACCACAGAGAAGAACAATGAATATCAATGCTTTTTAATCGTCTACCTTTTAAAAAAGATGATTTCAAGATGGCTATTTCTTCTATGACGATCTTTTTCATTATACAGTATACATCTTCTGTTTAAGTTCTGTCGCTCTCTCTCTGCAGGGTCTGATGTTTGGATATGCCACAGATGAGACTGAGGAGTGCATGCCTCTCACCATCGTCTTAGCTCACAAACTCAACTCAAAGATGGCTGAACTCAGACGCGACGGCTCCGTCCCCTGGCTGCGCCCTGACTCTAAAACACAGGTGGGTTTAAAAGACTTGCAACATTTTGCCTCACAATATGTCTTCTGTGTAACAGTTTTTTGTTTCTACTCCGGATTTCTTCCTAGAGTTTTGTTAAGATACCAGCAGAAAAAAACATTGACCTTAGGTGTCTAATGCCTTTGTGTCCCTGCTGGTTAATATAAGTTGATATAAAGTCAGTCAAGAGATGGTAGGTAAAATATTAAAATAGAGAACACATTTGGTTAAGCACATATATATTTATTGACAAAGGAATATTAAGGAATTGACTATGTAGTCAGCTTGCCAATGGAGATACACTCATTTTCTATGAGCTGTGTCAGACGATATCAGGCCTAACTCTCATTCAAGTTTCAGGTGAGGATCTGCAAAGGAAAATAAATAGCAGCGGTAAAAACTTGGTTAAATCAGAGTAAAATGGAGAGAACTACAGATCAGTCAGTAATTATAATAAATACCAACTGTTTTCTTGTGTGTCCCACAGGTGACGGTACATTATGACCAGAAGAACGGAGCTGTGATCCCCAAGAGAGTTCACACCATCGTAATCTCCGTCCAGCACGATGATTTTGTTACTTTGGCGGAACAGAAGAAGGTCCTCAAGGAGAAGGTAGAGCCTCATAAGCAAACCTGACTGGCCTCTGATGAAAGCACCTCTTTGGTTTTAATGTTGCATTGATTTGTTCAGGTGATCGACGCTGTGGTTCCTGCTAAATATTTGGACGACAAGACCATCTACCACCTCCAGCCCAGCGGTCGCTTCGTCATTGGAGGACCTCAGGTGAACATCACACACATCTGCTTATTCCGATCAGTAAACAATCAAACACTTAAGAAGTCACCACTGATTTTTACTCATCTTACCTTATTTTTCTTTTTTTTCATTTATTTGTACTTATCTATTCAATATCATACATGAACATCATACATTCTACATACAAAGTCCAGGGGCAGACATACAAAGCAACAAAACATTAAATAAAGTAAAGAAAAAAGAAAAATACGTTTTGATACTTCAGATTAAATATTTTTTAAATATCAAATTAGTTTTGATTGCCTTCTTATTCCTAATGTTTTTAATAGTGCTAATATATTGTTTAAATTCTTGATAGAAATTTAAAAAATGTGGTTTGGAGTCAGCCCATTTATTTTTATGGATATGAAATTTCCCTAGAAATACAATTAACTGGACAAAAAAGACAACATCTGCATCCATACCATCAGCCCTGAAGTACATAACACCTTCCCTTCTTTCTTCAACAGGGTGATGCTGGTGTGACAGGCAGGAAGATCATTGTGGACACATACGGAGGTTGGGGCGCTCACGGTGGTGGAGCTTTCTCCGGTAAAGACTTCTCAAAGGTGGACCGCTCTGCTGCCTACGCTGCTCGCTGGGTGGCCAAGTCTCTGGTCAAAGCTAACCTCTGCAGGAGAGTTCTGGTTCAGGTGAGCGTACAGCGTCAATAATTCACCCATCTAAAAATGTATGAGGGAGTAAAGGCTGTAGTTGAAGCATTAACGGGCTGATCTTTGACCTTTCTGGATGTGTTACAGGTATCTTATGCTATCGGAGTGGCACAACCTCTGTCCATCTCCGTGTTCACCTACGGTTCCTCCGAGAAATCAGAGTCAGAGCTGCTGCGGATTGTCAACAAGAACTTTGATCTGCGGCCAGGAGTCATTGTTAGGTAAACATTACTATATAACCTTTGTATCCTCCTTATGCAAGACTGTGTCAAGCTGCTACATTTGAAGCTGCCTAGTCCGATGGCCTAGGACTAGGTTTCTGTTTGGGGCAAAATCAGACAAGTGAAAATGTGTGTTTTTCTGGTGATGTGCATTTGTGTCTACTACCACTAGGGGCCATTAGAGCAACACAAAACTAAAACAATGATGCAATATATGCAATATCATAAAACTCAATAACAAGCTCCAGATAACTCATGGCGACATGTCTGATCAAGATTAAATACACATGAGTTGCAGTTGATCATAGCCATAGTGTGAACAACCAGAACTACATACATTTAAAAAATGTACTAATGTAATGCACTAATGTACATTTTTCACAGATTTCACAGATTTTGAAGTGACTGTTATTTTTTATATATTGATTGTTGTGCTTTTATTTATGTCTTTAATGTGTGCATATGGCTAAATGTGTCTGTTGATTGATTATATATATGCATATACATATTTTTATATATATATTTGTATTTTTTATTCTTTGAGATTCTGGGAAACGGTATTTCGATCTCACTGTCTGTACACACAAACTGAAAGATTGACAATAAAGTTGACTTTTATTTTGATAAAATTACAAAAACAATCCAGATATTATCGTGTGACATGCTTACAGTCTTCTCACCTGTGATGTTGTATGTCTTCTGTATCCTCCATAGGGAACTGAACCTGAAGAGGCCCATCTACCAGCAGACAGCCTCCTACGGCCACTTTGGTCGACCAGAGTTTACTTGGGAGATGCCCAAAAAGCTTGTGTACTAAATACTCCACCTGCTTTTCCTTGAGGCGCCTCTTTCTTGGCTACGACTGCTTCAACTGATTGGACATTTTTAAATAGGAAGAACCAAAGCCAACGTTAAAGGTGGGGTAGGTAAGTTTGAGAAACCGGCTCGAGATCGCTAGAATTTGAAAATACACAACCGGAGAAAATCTGCCACTTCCTTACATAGCCCCTCCTCCAACACACACGAACGCGCACATGACCAATGAGGGCACGAGATAAGTTTGTGCCCCGATGGAAGGCTGACAGGCAGGTAGGCCATCCAGTTATTTTAGCCGGGCCGGCTAAAATGATTGGTCGTGCTTTTTACAGTACTACGGCTTCCACAGATGACATTTTTTTATGGATTTTTTGTCAAAGCACTTAAGATATTCATTGCTATCGGGATGTTAAGAGCATTCCATGGAATATAACAAAAAGTGTATCTCAAGCCGGTTTCTCAAACTTACCTACCCCACCTTTAACGATAAATAAGATTAAAAGAGATGAGGATTATCATCATATGCACGAGTGGTTGTACTGTAGTCATGTAATGTAGTAGACAGACATGGCAGAGGACATCTCAGTAACCAATCCTTTCCCCCCCGTCCTTGAACATCCAATTATTGGTGCTTTATAAATATGGGTACAATCGCTAGTCAAAGATCTTCCCTGGTAAGGTAAAGCAACACCACAGCAAATAGAATCCACTGAAGATAAATATTTCTCACCCACTAGAATCAGGGTTTTACCTCAAAGCTGCAAATGTTCCTTTACTTGACCAGTATGATGTACAGAAACCACCTCAGTGCTTTATTTACTTCATCAGTGACGATCATGAATATGTACGAAGTGTAATTATTGCTCAACCAAAGGCTCAGCTTTAGAAGAAAATGTAATCTTTTTTGTCATGCCTGTAAAATTCCTTTTCTAAGTCTTAATTTGTAATGTGTGCTACAGGAAGCTGTTTGCACTGTTACCATCACTGTTGTACATCCAGACAGGTCATTACGTGGAGAGAGCACTGATCTCTTCAACATTATGTTACAATCAGTAAATAGCCATGCGGTTTTCACACTGCACTTCTTTTCTGTCATCCTTTCAGCCTCTGCTTGGCTGATTTGTATCTTTAAATGTTTGTTTTTTTTAACCTGTAGGCCCGCTGCTGTTAAAGAGTATATATTTTATCAAAACACTTAAAGTCTTAATCAGTCTCTTCTCTTTGAAGTGGATTACCAAGCTGTACGCTGTTGAGGCTAAGCATTTAGTTCACCACTGATGTCTTACAGTTGCTGCATTTTTGACAATGGTATTATATCTGACATAATGCCATGGTGTAGATGCAGATCACCTTCATCTTTGAGATAATGTTAAGTTCTCTGCAGCTCTTTATTGCAAATTGAGATCCTCCCTTGTGGATTTAGATTAAAAAAAGGGTTTTTCAAATGTATTTCTCAAAAGGCATTTCGAACCTTGAATCTTAAGGTAAAAAGTATTTAATCAAATTATTTCCTTCTGATAGGGTCGAGGAAGTGTGAACAGTACTCACCTCAAACCTTCATGTCTGCAGAGGTGCATACTTTGTGGCTATTGTAACAACCCGTGCTTTCTTTTACAGCCGACATTGTTTTCTATTTAATGTGTTGATCTGTGTTGACTCTGTTGGAAGAGAATCTGGACAATGTAAATAATGAAACAATAAAGAAAATTGAAGATATAAATGGATTGACCTCTTTCTTCATCATAAGAGCTACATGCAGAAGATAGAATTGCATTACATAGAGAATGATTGTTTTGTTTTTGGAACATTTTTATTTGTTGAACATTAAGGCATATATATACAATCATGACTTTTCATCAAAATAGAATTTACAACCTAAACCTCTTTGGTTTTCATTATCAAAATAATATATAAAGGCACATAGGGAGCATTTTGCATTTCAACAGTATTGAGTAACAGATTTCTGTGAGCTTTACAGATGCTAGTTTGTCAGAAAAGTCTCACCTATGATTACTGATTACACGGGTGAGTTTTTCTTGCAGATCTTTAACCATCATGAGCAGCATAAGCATTCTCAAAAGCTTACTATACAGGAATGTTTATTTTGAAGCTTAACTTGAGTCTTGATTAACAAAAATAATCGATTAAATCGTGGCTAACCACCTATATAACACAACATATATAAACATAACAAATAGTCCTAGAACAAATGCGTTAAACAACCAAAAGAACAGAAGGCAGAAGCAAGCAAGAGTTCATTCTGTGAATCAAACAATGCAGCTGGTGTCGTAGCGCTTTCCTGAGTGCAAAGTTCAGACAGATCAGTAAATGAGAAGGAGCAAGGACAGAAAGAAGAGTATGACATTGAAAGAAGAGGATGCAAAATGACAATCAGTCTTAAGGAACATTTTAGAAAAGAGATTTTTGTAGTGTTCAAATCCAAACAAGGGCTTTTGTAGAGTTTGCTACTCTAATCACATCTAATTAATGTGTAATGAAAATGTTTCCTGCTAGAGCAACATGAGCAGCACCATCATTTGACAATAACACTTACTTAAAAGAATGCATATTGCAAAACTAGTGTCACATGGTCAAGTTTGACTTCAAAGTAATACCTGGTAGACAACTGAAGATCGCTGCTGAATTAAAGAACAGGCCCAGTTCAAGTGCTCTTCAAGAATTTGCTCCACTGCAAATGTAAAAGTAATACAAGCGCTGATTTGGCATGAACCTTGAGGTGATTGAATGTGGAAAATGTTACAAGTAGAGAACAAGACCTCCTGTGAGCGGAGCAACAACATTACAGCTCTGGTCCAACACCTGCAATAAGCAGTTTGACCAGTAGGGAGAAGCAAGAGATCACAGGTGTGTCTGTAGCAGCGTGAACAAGCTTTCCACTTCAGTCTTTGTGACAGTATTCATATTCAGTCATTCTGCGACACGATGTAAAGCGGTTTGAATACTGGGCTTTTGAGCAGCTAAAACACTAACATCCAAAATACTGGCTCCAACATGTGTCCGGTTGTGGTTTGAGGGTTTGATATTTTGACAACGCCTACTAACTGACTATCACTGTAAACCCTCTGCTTGCTCAGGTTTTTCACCAGAGAGCTCAGAGTGTGTTCATTTTAAACTGAGATGTTGAACATTTCCCCAAAATATAAACAGTAATCCTTACTCTGTATTACAGCCCATCACAGCATGTCAGAGAAAGACATTGAATACAAAACTAAATTTGAAAATCTTAAAAAATATGATTTTGGGGCTCAAATAAAATAAAAAAATATACAATTATCAATGATCAATTAGCAGGGAGCCATATCTAAATGTAGCTATATCTGTTTTGGTATTCCTGGCACTCACAAGCAGGCTACCTCCTGTCCCTGCTTCTCCACTATAAGCAGTCGACGTCTATAACCATGTCTATAACCATCCTATAACCATCCTATAGCTTTCTTTCATCAGACGTTAACATAAACGCAGATAAACTCAGGGAAAAACATCAAGATAAGGCCCTGTGTGTTTTAGCACCAATGCCACAGGCAAAGTGATATTTGGCTTATTCTGCTGTAAAGTAACAATGAAGCAGAACGGAACATCTCCGTAACATTACAAACCCTTCTTTCTTCCCTTTGTCCATAAGGCAGTGACAGTGTGCTGCTTCTCCTTGTTGGGGAGTAATGAGATGCAGACCTGCGCTCCTAGGAGCTGGGAACATGTGTGAAGCCGGCTCACTAAACTCAATAAACCCAGTGCTCTGGCTTGAATTAGCTGGTACGTCTTTGGCCTCTGGACACTGTATCATCTTTCTTTCATATTCTTTGGTAGAACGGAAGTTGAATACATTTGAGGTTCCAACAGAAAGGGGGATAAGACAACAGTTTAGGTTTTAAGTCATAACGTTTTGACATAATGAGGCACCAGATCTAATGTTTCTTTTGTGTGTGGTTCAAATAAGGACACAGTACATCACACAAAGCATCCAGGAACAAAGTGGAGTAGCTATTCAAACATCATTTTGTTGATGATGCTCATTTAAAAAAAACTATATGAAGTAGGCAGACATGTAGCGTGGAGTATGATGTTAATTCTAAGGATTTTTTTGACATAAAATGTATTTAAATTGTATAACAAGAGTATTGCTTAATGCAGGATTGACTAAGACATTGTTTTACTTTTCTTTTTGACACGGTTTCTTTAAATGTCTTGCATTCATCTATTCTCTCGTGGGAAAGACAAGCATGACCTTGCTCCCGCTGTCACCCTCACACCCTCTTCTCTCTGTCTCACTGCTGTAACACTGTCAGCTCGGCCGTCCAGCAGCCGTCACTCCTCTACGTAGATAATGATGCTTTCAGGAAGTCACCAGAAGTGAAACTGGTCCAAGACCACTATTGAGACATGTTTCGATATCTCAGAGGGGAACAGCACATTTTCTTTATCTGATTGATAAAATACTCTTTTACTGGTCACGTGACGGAGTTGGGAGGAAGTCTGGTTTTACACTTGTGCAATGTGCAAAATACAAAGTTCTTGAGACACCGAGCTCTGATGTGAGCACAATACAAGCTTAGCTCCCCACCCCTGGGGCTGAAATAGTAGAATCCACTCTGCCATGAGCGGCACTGGCCTGGTTCATTTCAAAGCTTCAGACGAACGCGTCTGGAAATGAATAATTAAACTCATTCAACAACCAGAGTTTGAAAGGATGATACAAGCCATCTGTGTGGCATCGAGGTGAGCCAGCAGGCTACAGTATGGACATGTTTTCAGGTTGGTGTGGGTGTGGCTGTGAGTGAGGAAGGGGCCCTCCCAGGGGTCCCAGTGCATCCACCTTGTGTTCTCTCCCAGCAGGTCCCAGGGTCCCTCGAGCCAGCACCACCATGGTATCTGATGACATGCCGGCAAACTCAAAGGCAAAAGTCCCGTAAAACAGCATGATGATGACGCAGAACAACCATTCAAAGATGGCCGACGCGTGTTGAAGGACGAAGCTCTCCTGACAGAAAAACACGCCACCTGAGAACACTGTTAAGGTCAACAACAGCAGAGCGGTGAGAAGACATGTAGTCAATGTGCAGACAGGCTGACATTGATCAGATTCAAACTCCTTGTTTCAACTTTCAGTAGGGCTGCATCAGACGGTTGTATCGGACCACCACCTGATTTCGTTTTCACAAATCAACACTACCCCTTACACTCAAATAAATATTTGTTCTATATAATATTTTAGAGCAATTGTATGTTATTAAATAGTTTAGTTTTAAATATCTTTTACAGAATATGGAAGTTGACTGTACAATGGTGTCACTAGCCATCATTTGTATTTATCTCATCCAATGATTAATTATTCACGTCGACTGCTTCTATACATCCACATTGGAAAGCCTGAAGAGCTCCAATTGCATTTTGAGATGTTCTTGTTTATGTAGTATACATTCGGGTAATTTTTTTTATATAATCCACATGCTGTGCCCACTTTATATACTCAGTATCACATCGTACTTACTAAGATAGTTAACTAAGTGCCCGTGTTGGCTACCCCTGGTGTAAGGTATATAAGAAATTAACTAATAATATTTCTCAAAATGTCACGTTTTCACAGCCATGACTGTGTTTAAAAGCATGCACCATAACATATATATTGTAAACATTTGAGTCTACTCACAAAGTAAAGCTGTAAAAGACTTTAAAAAGGCCTATAACAAACGATTTGACATTAAATACGGACCTGATGTCTCTGGCAGTAATAAGCTCTATGCTAAAGCACTATACGGCCTTGAAGGCTGCCATCTATCAGTGGCTGGAGGATACTGAGCACCAAGGCTACGAAGGCCAGCAGGGTCATGCAGAGCCGCAGGTGGGCCACGTTGTACTCCCCCTGGGTCTTGGCCAGTCGGTAAGTCAGAGCTGTCTGCACACACACAAACAGCATGCTGGTGGGGAAGGCGAGGCCTGCTCCGACATAGTGGAGAACTTTGGAATTATCCACCTTGGGTAGAAAAGAAAGGAGACAAGAGGAGGTAAAACATGGTCAGACAAGACAAAAGTTTATACACAAAATCTGCTGCTGACATTATTGAAAAAGACATGTAGGAACTATCAGACAGCTTCTGCATCAGGCAGTTGGGTCGGATTATTCATTGTTGTGTAATACTTTCTTAGACTTCTTTTGTAAGGAGCTAAAAGAAGAATACGTGAAAACGAGAGCATGCTTTAAAGTAAGCGCTAGCGACTCTATAACATGCCTCCTTTCCCCTACTGGTCACAAGAACGATGAGAAACAATACACATAAGAAACACACACACACACACACACACACACACACACACACACACACACACACACACACACACACACACACACACACACACACACACACACACACACACACACACACACACACACACACACACACACACACACACACACACACACACACACACACACACACACACACACACACACCACACACACACACACACACACCACACACACACACACACACACCACACACCACACACACACCACACACACACACACACACACACACACACAACACACACACACCACACACCACACACACACACACACACACACACACACACACACACACCACACACACACACACACACACACACACACACACACACACACACACACACCACACACACACACACACACACACACACACACACACACACACACACACACACACACACACACACACACACACACACACACACACACACACACAAGGGGCAGAGTAATTCAGCCAAATAACAGTTTTTTGGCTGATGATGAATCGGTAAACACTGGTGAGTACATACTGAACATTCCTGTGCAGTAGGCTAATCCTTGAAAGTCAGATATCCATACAATCAATATGAAAAAAACGCACACACCATTAGTCTTATTTTTACAGGAGTAGAATATAAATCACAGCAAGCTCTTTCACACATTTTTCCACATGCCTTTGCTCAAACAGCAGTTTATTGTTTTAGCTTTCATACTAAAGTGGCTGTTACAAAATCCTATTTTTTCAACTGCATCACCATCTCCATTTACAGGAACTACATCAAACTGGCACTGCAGGGTCTGAGTGTACTGCCAATCTGTTACTCACTATACACAGTAATGGAAAAACACACACACATGCAATAACAACCATATGCTCTGTTCTCCTTCTGGCAACTTCTGGTTTTAACTCCCGTTTTGTTTTTTGCAGAATGTTTCCTTTTCAGATGTTTAATATATCAAACAACTTTTTTCTCAAGAATATAACCAGCAGATTAGGTATAGACAGTATATTTAAATAATCCAACACTCCTCAGGGGTTTGTACTGCTTGTGTGCTGCCTGGTGTCACAGATTATATCACTAATCGTAGTCATTACCTGATGGCTTAATGAGCCGTCGCGGCATCAAAGTAAACCTTTGCTGTTCTTTTGTATGGAGGTTTTCACACTTTAGTATGCTCTCAATATGGCAACATGTGTTCATGGGAAACTACACATCTCTGAGCATCTGCCTTCATCTGTCACTGCTGAAACCTACTGCAGCTATAAGTCACCAGAGTTTGCCCGGTTCTGTCATTTTCTTAAAGTATTGGTACCACATTTGATTAAATACATTGATCCTGTCAATATAGAAAATCAATAGACATATGATCATCTAAATGTGTGTGTGTTACTGTAATGTAATACAGAGCGTGTGCTGGATAATCTGAGGTGTGAGGATGTAGTACATGTGGGAACAAGCCCAACAGACATCCAGCTCTCTGCCAGCGTCAGTTTTCATTTTCTGGAAATTGAACCAAAAGTGAAACTCTTTTGACTTGACCGTTAAAAACACACCTGCTGAACCAAACGGCTGCCAAACTCTGTAACAGAGATTTCACAACCGAACATATTGCAAAAGGTATTTAAGCAGACGGACAAAAAGGGGATCCTGAATAAGTGCCTTTATGACATTTATATCTATAATCACCAGAGACATATTCATGCACATAACATATGCTTTCAAATGTTAGCCATGACTCCTTGGACATTGTTTCTAATACTTTACACAACCATCAGTGCTTTTCAAAAATCAATATTTCTTAAACTGACCGCACTCCTTTAGGATGCAGTTGAACGGCATTGACAAAGCATAAAAGCCGTGCCGACAGTCAGCATCATCTGTACGTCATCTTCCTCTCTCTCCTCCTCCTCCTGACTGCAGCTCATGAACTAGCCGTGTCCCTCTCATGGACCTCTGTCTGGCAGCGATGTGCTTTTCCATCATCTAGTTATGTGCTTCTCTGCCCAAACCATCAGACCACCTGACAGGAAAAGCCCCAGTGGCCGCACCACATCTGCTCTGCCAAAGCCTTTACGTAACCCACAGCTACACGAAGTCGTTGCCACCGCTCAACATGGTGCCATGTGTTGTGTTTCTGCTACTTTCTCTCCCTTTTCTCTGTTGGGTTCATCAGATTTTGGCTGCTGTTCTCTCCTCTGACTCTCCACTGTTTGCCAGGGGATGCCATGTCATTATTCTTTTGAGCCTGGGCTTGATTTTGCCAACAGAATTTCTGTTGTCATGTGGTTTAAAAAGTGTATTAATCTTCAATGACATCTCTATTTCCATCCCACTGGAATGCCTCGACTATAAGCGATGTGATGTCTGTGAGCGAGGCCTGTGATTGGTTACAGAGGGCCTCAGCCTCACACACCCTGTCTGCCCTGCTCCTCTCCATGCATGGCCAGACCTGATGACTCACTTCCCCCTGGCTCTTCCCGTATAATTCCTCCCAGTTCTGCAGAGCGGAGGCCCCAAAGGAGAAGCGGGAAGAAGGTGAAGATGACCTTTGAGCATTCTCAAACAAACTACCATTGCAAACCTCTCACACTCACACCCATCTCTAAGGCTATTGTTTGTCTCCATCTTCCTCAGGACACAGTGGCCTCTAGACAAACATTGTTTAACTACTGTAAGATGTCATATCATCCATAGACAACATTTAGTTAAGAGTGCTTCTGCCACACCTTACAAACAGCATGAGCTCAGTCTGATCATAAAGAGACAGAGTTGCCCCTATAGATTCTTTTAACTAGTGATTAATTTACAGATTCAACGGTTAATCTTTAAGTCTATAAAATGTCAGAGATACAATAACAATGACATCTGATACACTCAAGGAACATGTATTCTGCTTTATACTGAGGAATGTTTTCATTCAAAAACAGGAACTTTAACAGTGAATTTCTTTCAGAACTGGTATGCCTTTTGGCAATTCAAAAGGCCCACATGTGTTAGTAACCTGTCTGCTCCCTTCTCGTATCTCTCCCACATTATTTACCATAAACAGTGAACTATTTAACAGTCTTTTCCAATTTGAAGGACAAAACCTGAATGTTAACAACGTATCAAAGACGTATCCAGCCTTTTATCAAAAAATAAAACCGTGTCTATGTTATCTCTGAGCCTCCCCTCCCAAACTTACAAAAATACCAAGGATGTCTCATCAAAGCTACTTGTAGTCTGGGCATCGAGCCAGTGCTCCAAATATTTAAACTTCACGAAATTCTTTTCCAAAGAACAAATATCTACAGGAGAGGAATTCAAGTCAGTTGTCCTCACTTTAACTACCAGAGAGAGCAGTAGAACAGTGTGTCTCTGATGGCAGAGCAGACTTTAAAAACACCTGAATGTACATCTTATCTTAGATACAAGTTGTTTTTGTGTGTGTATCTGTGTATGCGTGCACGTGATAAAGAGGGGGCGAGGAATAGTGTCATTTGAGGAAGATTAAAGCAAATGAAACAAGCCGAGTCATGGACACAGGCCTGAATGTCATTGAGAAATATTTGAGACATTTCAATGACAGGCAGTTTTCTTCGGGGCTGCAAACTAACGGTTACTTTGTATTGACAATAATTCTGCCATGTGCAATGAAAAATAGCCATCATAATATTCTTAAAACCAAGGTCACCACATGTGACAAAGCAAAACAACAAAATAGTCACCTTAAAATGATGTAAAAACCACCTAAAGCAACAAATCTTAACACTTTGCTGTCACAGTCAGGGTCTTTAACTTTCTAATCAACTCTGACTCACATTTTGAGAGTCATTTTACTAATCTATATTTCCCTTGTGGTATCATATTACTTTCCTGTTATTTCATCTTTTCATAATTTTCTATATTTGGAATTGCATTTTATGTCCGTTTGATGAAAGTAAACTGGACCCTCGTACCTGGAAGTTGCCCACCATCATGAGTCCAGCGGCACAGATCCAGCCTGTGGAGAGACTCGCCGTGTTGAGAACACAATTTTGGTGCTTCTCAATGACGTGGGCGTAGCGGAGCAGCACGATCACCATAACTACAGAAGAGAAACAAAACGAGACAAAGACAAGATGAGTCAGTGATGGGTGGATCTGATGAATTATACAGGTTACTACATAAATCACTACACTAGTAGAACAGTGAACTGCTGTGAGGGAGGGATGACAGGTTATGCTGTTTCTGGAAAAGTCCGCTACACACTGTTGGTATTGTGCGTTATTATTTCACCGAGCCTGGCTTCAATTTATTTCAAACACTAGCACACTTAGCCAAAAAACACAAGACTTGCTTGGGAGCTGATTAAAAAGACAGGAAATGGCGGGAAAGTGAGAATGCTAAATGGGTGTGGGTTGGTCTAAATCTTGCATGAGATTAAAAGAAGAGGGGAAGTACAGTGTGTGGGACAGATGACTGCGGATGTACTAATGGGCTGTGACTGGGGGTATTGTTGGTGCACGGAGGAGCTGACCCCCGCTTGGTGTCTCTTTGTTAGCTCCTCACGGATGGTGCTTCACGAGGGCTGACTGGGCTTGGTGAAAGCGGGGCAAAGGGGGCGAGGGGAAAAGACGAGGCTGAGACATTCAGAAGGAGACAGGGAGCCTCTCGTGTCTTGACCTGACGCCCATATATTTTCTTGGAGACTAAACTGTTGTTTTAAATCCGTCAGCATCTGTGTGAGAGACGGGCTCTAAGACGTTCTGTGCTGCCAAATGAGAATAAAATGGAAACCGTGGTCACAGAGAGGGAAAAAAAAACGTCAGTGCAGGACTTAACAATGTCAAGCTTTGTCTCAACGAGTCAGGGTTTGGATACACTGTGGCCCGTCGGGCTCTAAGCCAACGTCTCTTTGTGGACATAACGGTCACATAGTAAAACGAGAGACTTCAAGAAGTTTTGAGTAATATCCTGTTAGTACAAAGTGTGAAAAGGGCACGACTTTCTTCTACAAACTGCCAAGAAAGTACAATGAGTATACTTTATGATATTCTTATATAGGCAACTTACTTTTTTATAATAATTGTACTTTTTGTACATAAACAAGGATTTTGGAATATAGGATTAATTGTAATCCAACAGTCATTTTAGCTGGTATGTGTGTTTTTCACAGTAAATGAAAATAAACTCATATTAATGTATTTATTGGGCAAAACAGATACAAAATGTTACATACAATGCAACAGATGGAATGTTTATGTGTATCTGGTGCCACATTATTACCAATAATTATTTGTTGTAAAAATGTATAACAATGTTATGTTTGTTCAGATCCTCAAGCCTCAGCTTTTGCGTGAGTGCTGTTGTTTGTTTTCCCTCTGCACTAAGAATCTTCTTGGCAGAGTGATTTAAGTTACAATCATGGAAAAGCACACAGCAGTGTCTCCAGGCTCGGAAACAATCTAGTCTGTTTTTTTCCTACTCGTTTTTTTTATGTAGAAAACACTGTAGCGCTGAAGGGACAAGAAAGTAAACTGTTTATTTCATTAGATTACAGCTTCTTCGTCCAATTGTTGCAGACTGGTTGGCTGTGGATTTTCTCTATTGAAACAAATTACTGTTCATCATTACAAATGAGCGTGCTTGAACTGGCTGGCATCAAGTCGTTTCTCTAAACTGATGTAAGCTCGGCCTGAAGGTTAAGGGCATGGAAGAACATGTTCCCATTACTCTATGGCGAAATCCTTCATGCTTAGGCTTTATTTGTGCTCTGTAACCTTTGAGGCACATTCTGTTTTCTGGAATAACTTTTGGAGGATGCATGTCGTGATGATGAGTCACAGCATAAAGGTTACATGTCTGAGGAGGTAGCAGCATGGCTGACCCCCACCTGGCATTAGACAGTTAGGACAAGCTGCTGTGATACATTTGTATACTGCCTTTCTACCTTACCAGACACAGCACTATATCATTTGACTCCAATCATCCATGCACATACATCTTAATACACTGATGGTGGCAAAGCTATCATGCAAGGTGCTGGCCTCGTGCCTTGATCAAATAAACTATATTTAGATGTAGGCAATTTGATTGTGTTGTCAACAGAAGGAATCAGTTTACATATTGCCATTGCTAAGCTTTGATCTCCTTCCACACTGACGCCCACTCCTTTTCTCTGAACTCAGGAAGCCCAGAGGGGAAAAGCTTGGCTCAAACCCACCAATGCTACTCTTCCGTGGAAGTCACCTCTCAACAACGTGGACTTACGGTAACTGATGCACAACCCTGCTGCCACAAACACAGACTGGCTTATGCAATCGCATAGACGTTAGCAAACGATGCCAGTGCATATTCCCACAAAAGTCCCATCAGCCACACCACACCTCACAGTTAAATAAACCCTAATGTCCCCTCAATTAGATATGTTTCAACACAAACAAACGGCTGCATTCTCTCCCACAGATGCACGCTGAGAAAGAAAACATGCATTGTCTTTGAAACGGAGTGTTTTTTTTTCCCACCACTGGCCGAGAGGTGGGAACTGCCTGGAATAAAAACGAGAAGTATAATTATGAGGCAATGTGCAGTTCAGGGAGTGCAAGATATCCCAGATAAAAGTGAACCTCTGAGCCGACTGTAGCAGGCACAAAGCGAGACATAAATCAATAGGCTAAGAAGCTAAACACTAGTTATTTACAATAGCCTCTTGTAGCCACATGCCTCGACTGCTTAGCCCGCTTTTGTAGAGCCTTAATAACTTTCTTTACAACAGGTATTAACACACGCCGAGATCAGACTCACTTGACAGTAAAGAAAGATTTTAATAATCCCAAGGAAGCCCTCATTTTTGTAGCTGTATTTACAATGAATTCCTATGTTTTCTTCTCTTTTTGGTTTTAGATTTGCACCTTTGTATAATCAACATTATTTTAATCAGTTTTGGACATTTGCCTGCTGGTGTGGGACTGGCTGATGAGTAGGAGAAAACAGCAGGACCAAAGTAGAGTCAATTATTACATTTTAAATAATATACAGTGATTTTTTGTTAAGTATACCTGTATAATTCAATGTAAATAAAGAGATGTTTTAAAGACATGTTTTTTCTGCCGCCCAAAAACTCAAACCATTGTTTATATAACAATACAATGCCTTCACATAACACAAAGATATATAGTTCACAAAAGTAGCCGTGATGTTACATGCCTGTCAGAAACTGAGTAGTATAAAACTGATGGATGGGGAACAAATGTGCTCAAAGACTGATTTAAAAGATATGTCACAACCTACAGTACATGTCCAGCAAAAAAGGACGGATCTTATTTCTAGGTGCAACAACAGGTGCACTTTAAAGTTAAACTTTTTCTACTTCAGAGCGAGACTGATGGATCAGTTACGCTGATATATCATGGCAGATTTGTCGCATCGTAAATAACAAATAAGTAACAATGGTGTCACCATGACATAGTACTTCCAGACTTCTCTTTTTGAAAGCACACAATTTATAGTTCTGAGCTGAACGCACTTACTAAGAACAGAATTACACTTAAATCAATTCAGAGTTAACATTAAAGACAGGAAATATACAATATTGTGTCGTTTTTGTTAAGCTTTATGCACTGAAATGCCAAATTGTTCGTCAGATACATTGTTAAGTCGCCACCTAACTTTTCTAAATCGACTTTCTACATTTTTGTATACTTAACAACATTATACGCTTTTAACCGTGCAACTTATAGAGGAATCAACTATGAATAACTTAAAACAGCAATAATCTTGCAATAAGACAAACCATTTTAAGTGCTAGAGCATTAGCTTCAAATAAGCAACACCGAGTGCTGGATACGGAAATTCAATTTTTTGTTTTTCACAGTGCAGTGCTTAGCCTACCTGTCTTTCTCTTACACAAACACCTTTATGTGCACAGGGGCGACCTGCTGTGGTTCAGGGGTGATGGATTGCTAAGAGAGCTGCTCCAATGTGAGACTTTCACTGCTGCCTGAGCAGGCCTTCACACTGAGCTGCAACCGTCTGCTGCCTGGATCTCTCACGCACAGTCTCACTCTATATAAACACACACATACACAAAGAAAGGCTCCCCTATTCTTGTCACAGCCAAAGACCATAGCTGTAATTAAGATGTCAAAAACACACAGCATACAGCTTATTTTGAGGATCATGGTCTCATCATGAGTCTTTCTCTGCCTGCCTTTCAGAAGCAACAGTCCACAGCCGGCCGATCACACAGGCCTTAAATAGCTGCTAAAGGCACGGAGGCTCCTGATGAGAAGACAAACAAGGCAAAGGGACCTATCCCCCGCTTTATATAAGTGCATACACACACTGAACATGTCTAAGCCACAGCTGGGAAACATGAACTGGATCAGGATAGTCAGACAGGCAGTTAACACAGGGAACAGCATGTGTAGACTCACAAAAAACATACAGACCTGCACACGGGCGCTCATTCCCTCACTTTCATATCATGCATGTTTTCCTTGTCCCTTTGAAAATACACACTCAGCATGTATGTGTTGGAGGCTGTATAAAACATTCTGAAGCGCATGTTGTTGTCCTTTTACCTCCCCCTTTATTTAGATATGACAACATGCAAGGTTTTCACTGGCTTTTGGTCAGTGTGGTTATGTTTTGCACAGACTGGCATTCTTAAAAGGGCAACACAACTAATGCTACTCTCAATTTAGGCAAAATAACTGATCATAAAAACGACATTTACCAACAAGACAAGAAACTAGTCACTTCTGCAGAACCGATTTATATTTTTTTAATTAATACCTTATAAAAGAAAGCAATGCTTCTTATTACTCATGTATCCTATATTTATGTACTTTGGATTGGATATTATATATAGTAATAAAACTATCAGTCGATCAACAGAATTTCAATTATTTGATAGTTAATTAATGATTTATGATAAAAAATAATGATTGTTCCAGGTTTGAATTGTGAGGATTAGCCAGTTTCCTTTTTATATAATAGTAACCTGAATATGTTTGCCAAGCATTTTGAAGATGACTCAAACTTTGTTTTTGTTTTTAACCACTTAATTATTACATCCCCATTACTGATGGTATGTATCCAAAATTCCAATGTGTAAATAGTTTGTAAAAGCACCAATAGCAAACCCCACAATATCCTTTTTGAGGTCAAACATTGTGATATGGGACTTCACTATATTCCCCTGCCCTCGTGTATGTATGTAAAATGTTTGTGTGTGCACATGATGCTTACCCATGAATGAGCCTGTGCTGCAGATCAGGCTGAAGAAGCAGCTCTCCGGGGGAAGAGTCCCACATTTACTGCAAGATAAAGTACACAGAAATAAATCAGAGGACTACTGTCACCAACCTACGCACAGTCCACAGCAACAGAACCACTAATTCATCTCCTGTGTTGTGCAATAAAGCATGTTGTCAGAGATGTAGTTCTGCGCATGCAACAAAGGAAAAGGGGGGGTGGTGTGCACACTTCCTCATATACCACCATTAAGGCTTTGACTTTTCACCTACTGAATACTCCACTCTAGGAATGGGAAATGTTTGTAGGAGGGGAAAGCAGAAGACAGTAAACACAGGCCGACTGTGCCCGAGCTCCTGCCTCATGCAAAGCCGCAAAGCCGCACACACACACACACACACACACACACACACACACACACACACACACACACACACACACACACACACACACACACACACACACACACACACACACCACACACACCACACACACACACACACACACACACACACACACACACACACACACACACCACACACACACAACACACACACACACACACACACACACACACACACACACACACACACACACACACACACACACACACACACACACACACACACACACACACACACACACACACACACACACACAGAGACACACACACACACACACACACACACACACACACACACACACACCACACACACACACACACACACACACACACACACACACACACACACACACACACACACACACACACACACACACACACACACACACACTACATAATCTTGCGCATTGTGTCAAGATAGTGATTTTTTTTTTTTGATGGCCTTTAACTATTTGCTCCAGATTTGATAAACAAACCAAAGTATTCAGATTATACAATTGGCCTTTGATGATGAAAGCCCAGTTTGAATAAAAGCTGCACAAAAGAGCGGGAGTGTCTAGATTTCCTCCCAAATGTAAGCAGACGCCTCAGTGTGTGTTTATTTGGTAAAATGCAGACCAATGCTTCGCCTCTGAACTGCCACGGTGGCAGGCAGGATACTCAGCCCTGAGTTTTTTTCAGAATGCACACACACACACACAGACACACAGACACACACTCAGGAGATCCATCTCCTTCAAGCTCACTCGCCTTTTTATCAACAATGTGCCGACAAGGGTCAGGTTAAACAATGGGACAGTGTTCCTGTTTTTTAACTACGAGACAGAAACGAGAAAAAGGAGACAGAAAAGAGACAGATAGAGGTGTGGGGGTGGGGGGGGGAGTGGGAGTCTCACTGACCTTATGAGAGGTACATTGTCTAGCGTGCAGCACAAGGTTGGCCCGCTCTGCAAATACAGATCCTCTTCACATGATTGGTTGTACAACCTGGAACATCAAACATACATGCTCATTTGTGCACACAATAAAAAGGTAATATTTATAAACAAACATTTGTTGAAAAATCACATTTATTTAAGCTTTAGAAATATTAGTACAACTTCATTACTGCTGTTAAATCACCAATTGCAGACGCATTTCGAATAATTACTATCACATTTGTTCTTAGTAAGTTTGGAATAAATAGATAATGTGTAAAATAATGAAAATGACGAAGAAAAACAGGGACCACGACATATCACCAGATGGCAAGGATTGAGTTTGTGGGATCATCAGAGGTCAAATAAAGCAGCATACAGTATAATTGATCAACATACCAGTTATCCACAGGGCAGACATGTTGATTGTACAGGGCCATGGCGTACCTGAAATATAAATAGTATGATTAGCCGGGAAAAAAGAAACAATGTTGGTATATTGTAAATCGTCTCAAGTGAGTCAAAGAGTAAAACATTTAGAATAAGGTTCTAATAATACGCAAATAACAGTGGAGTCTTTATCTACGCTGTTGGCTTAGTAACATAGCCCATGACTACACTTTTACTACAAAAATGTCATTTGATCATATCCTGCCAGTCTGACCTTCCACTGATTTTGTTAAACCTGTAGGGCCAGACGACCTGACATTCAATTGTTCTTATCTCTCTATCTGGGACTCGGAGGTCAAAAGACTGGTTTGTTTTCACAACTGGTTTAATAACTGCTGATACCAAACAGTGGTGTTTATTTAGTCAGGTCACTGACCACCGACATCCACTGAGAGGTCAATGGCCAGAAGATCAAACGATAGAAACACATATTATTGAAGATATATTGGTATAAGTGTACTTTTGGATCAACGTCATCATCCATGTTGTGTTTCAAGATGGACATGTCAGGAGGGACGAAAAGGGAAACTCTGGAAGGAAAAGCAATTGTCACCTTATCCCCTCGCTATTTACGAACACACATGCTGTCAACACTGATAAAAATAATATTTTTAACTGCTAGAAGAAAGATGGGAAGACAGACGGTCAGAGACAGACACAGAGACTATCTATCCAGATTTGTGAAAGCAGTCCTGGTTCAGTAGGAGGTTAAATACCAGTTACAAATGTTTCCAGGGTCGATAGGATCCAAATCACTCTTTGAACGACGGAGTGATATCATAAAGGCGCACACACACCTGCTCCCCAAAAGACACTAACAAGCACAGGCCCTCGTGTCAACACACATAAACACAAGTAAGACTATATTTATTGGAAGCAAGACCTATTATATGAGTTACAAATGGTGGTGTTTATAATATTCAAATTGATGAGTGAAATTTGAGTGTCAAACTTTAGAGTGCAAGGTCTGACGCTTTAAAATGACTTACTTCAATGTTATAAAAATATAGTACCACACAGATATATAGCTACAATTATATTATAGTTGTGGGTACATAACTAGAAATATCAGGTAAAGAAGTCCCCCCCCCCCAATCCACTACATCATATGGTTATAATAATAGATCTGTTATTTCGGTACTTTGTAAATTAATGCATTTTCTTTTACACGTGAAAGCTTGTGTTAAGTAATTTGGCGTTATTTCACAGTGTCATCCGCTCTGCACTGTATTACACTACACTATAGAGGATCTATCATAAAATCCTACACATAAAAAGGTCAAGTTAAACTACAATTATTACTAAAAAAGCCATTAACGAGACTTAATACCAATAGATATCAAGTCCAACCTAAGATAAATAATTACTGGGAGAAAATCAACATGTTGGAGTGTCTATTTGTGGCTTCCTAATCTTCACAGTTTCAGACTCAAGTGTGAGCAAGTGAAAGGCATAATTGAATGAAGATGACATTATTTGTTTGGGTATTGACTAAGGGAAGAGGGAGGCACGAGTGGCCGGCTAGTTATTGGTTGGTAAAATGCAGTATGAATAACCATGTGAAAGGTATACAAGCCAGATGCTACTCTTGCATAATGCAGCGAGGAAGCCCACCGCCATCAGGTAGAAGGTTCCAGTGCTCCAATACAATGATACTAATTTACCAAGGGGGAAAAATATAGGAAAAGTAACTGCAGCCAGCTGAAGTGATCACATTTTCCACAACTTCCAAGGAAACTTTTTTTGTTTGGTCAGCTTCCAAATATAAAACAGCAGCAGGGCCTTTCTAGGACATTTCTAAATAGAGCGGTCTTTTTTAGCACTATGTGAAACTAAACTGGTGCCTTCTGCGCTCGGGGGAGTCTTAGTAATAATAGGTTTGTTTACATAATTAGACCTCTATCGAAGCTCAGCAGTGGTAGTAAACTCTAATTGCATGCCTTTGAGCAAAATATAGGTGGAAAAAGCCATGTTGTTTTATTTAGGATAAGGGCTTTTACAGAAGGATCTGATGTTGACAGTTAGAATTCCCATAAAACTGTGCAAAAAAACAACATATCAGAAACCACAGGAAAGGGTGTGATGCACAAACTGTGAATTCATTTTAGTAGTATAGACTAAGCTCCAGTCGCTTCTCTGGCTGTTTGCTGTAGCGCCTAAAATACAGTACTATTAAACTAAAGCAAAACTGCTTAACTCATAACTCAGGAGAAGAATCAAAGATCCTGGGCGGGCAGAAATCTTCTTCTGCCTGCACACAGACATTTCGTACACTGGGCATGGCCTCCAGATGCTGAGTGAAAGTTCTGCTTACGCTCTCTATGACCGCCCTCCAATATTTACCTTACTCCCACCCATTCGCCCACAGTGAAAGAGGGAGTTACATAACATGTCACATCCTTTGACATTCCTCCGGTCTGCTCTTAGAAACAAGGCGCCATTGTCGAGGTAACGGGAAGGAAACGGGTTTAAAGGGACTGACACTAGGCAGCATTAGGCAGCATTTGGCATCTTAGCTCAGATATCTTACTACCTCAGAAACAATTGTCAAAACAAGAACAAAATGGGCAAAGCTAGCACTGATTTTCACCTGCATGTACTCCAACTTTGTATTTGTCTGACTGTGAAGCAAACAGTCTATAGTCTAAAGCAACATTAGCAGCTCAACCATGTCTTTTCTGCAAAGCCCTGCACACCTGAACACACACTCCTGATTAGACTGTGAAGCAACCATGTTCACAAACACTAATTGGTGTGCAAGATCTCAGCTTTGGCATCTGATTAGACTGAAAACTCCCCAAGCAACTCATCATAGACTACTACAATCTGGAATTAGGCCATCTGTCTCTCTCCCCTTTGGGATGAGCATTCCTTCTCCCAAAGAAACAACAGAGCAGAGAGGAGAGAGCTGTCAACCCAAAACATAGCAAGAAGGTAATCACTCCTTCCTCTCTGCTACATATGCTCAGATACCATACTGCAGACAGATATACTGCAAACCTGCAAGTCTCTCTTTAAAAGAGCGGTGATAATCCCAGATCCTTCCTGGAGAGCGTTAAACATGCAATCGCCATGACTCCCAGGAATTCAGCATAAATATGCAGTGTTGCTCTCTCAGAGGCTGAGGTATCAAAAGGTTTTAGACTCAACATAAACAAGATTTATAATTTGTTCTATTAAGGCCTGGGTATCACTGCATGTAGTCTATGTCAAAGATAAGTTGTTCAAATATCATTTTAATTGTGATGATATTCTGTTATTTGTTATGTACACTGATATATTTATTAAGAAAGATATATGCAAAAGTCCTATATTTGTATAAAACCAATTGGCCAATGTGTATGCGGGCAGAACAAGTGTGTGTTAAATCAGGTTTATGGTTCTATGAAGCTATTAAAAGGTGTATACAGAGTGCGATAGCGGGCCAAATGTGCTTTATTACACCATTGCACATGAATACATTGTGTATTGTTCCTCCCTGCAAAAGTGTTATAAATCTGTCAGGGATAAGGTGTTATCTTTGTGCCTGGTTGAATTTAATAAAACCGTGCTACTGGCCAAATGTGTCTCTTTCAAAATCTTGTGGGTTACAATGCAGAAATGAAACTAGTGTTTCTTTTACTTTTGGTAAAACGGTTACTGTATTGGTTTGGCAGAAAGGATTACAAAGCTGTTACATAATTAAGCGATGTATCATACTTGACGTAAAAGAAACTTGCACTGAGCCTCACTCACTACCAAGGCAGCAGAGCATTGTACACACTTTTTCCGTTGCAGCTGACTTGAAAAGGTACTTGGTTGTGTTTGATTTGAGTTTTAAGGAAATGTCCTACTTACACAACCCATATCCCAGTGATGGTCAGAACTGGGAGGCTAACGGGCAGTATCATCCAGAGAGACATCTTCCAGCACCTTGAGCAGCCACTTTCTTCTTTTTCCTCTTCGGCCAGCCGAGCAATATCTGCTCAAGTAGTACTAACATTTAACTGAGTGTGGCTGACATCTGCATTGCCACCGACATTTTCTTAAAGATAGAGGATAGAAGATGGACAGGTGTGTCCTTTATGCTGGGGAACGAGAAGAGGGGGAGAAATGAGTAAGGTCGGTACCTTCACCTAATGATCAGAAAGCAATCTTCATCAAGGTCTGCCAGTTAGAGAAATCAGAGCAAGTCTCCCTAGCAATTTAATGTATAAAGACGAAAAAATAGGGCTTTACATCTGTTAACCTGTTTCTGGAGATTTCTTCTAATTGGTGGAGCTGTACAATGTTGTTGTGGACTAAACCAGGTAAGTTATCCTATTCAAGATTTTAAAAGTTGTTTTTCTGAAGTTTAACTGTATTTGACTGTCTGATTTAATAACGATTATGGCTTGTCATTCTAATAAATTGTATATATTGGTGATGTGTAACATTGACTCAATTAGTACACCTTTCCAGGTACATGTGCCTTACTTGAATACCAGCATTTATGTTATTTTAATTCTACTTTCCTACAACTAAGAGGAGCATATTGTACTAATACAAAATATTTTCAATAAATGATGATACCCTAATGTTGATTAGGCTGCCCAGTAGTATATATACTACAAAAAAAATAATGCATTACAAATATAGGATTCTGAGATTAGTCATTATGTGTGTATTTTGTACTTTTGCTATTTTAAGTAAATTTAGTTGTACTTTTACTTGGAAGAAAATCTGTAAATGCAGGACTTTTACCTGCCATTTACCTAAAATGTGGTTTTACTATATTGCACTGATATATTGCATTAATGTTTGGTACGCTGCATCCCTTCTGATGGCACATGCTAAAAGCTGCTCACCTTCAAGGGTCTAGCTAGCAACAACGACGAACATCAAAAGAAAACCAATGACTACTCACCTTCTGTCTCAGTGTTCACTCGCAAGTTTTTTGCAGCTTTTTGGTAACTTTGAGTACGCCGAACACACCTCTGGAAGCCGAAAACTATTCCACACAGACGGGACGCAATTAAACTTGTTTTATATATTAATCCTGTATTTTCTTTCCCGAACAACTGAATCCCGTTTGCCGTTTTTCGTGGGAGGCTCGCTCTCAGTCGGTTTCGTTGCATCGCCGCCACGAGACACTCCACAGTATCCAGCTGTTAGGCTCCCCCCCCTCAGACCTGCAGTGTGCGCTGCATTAAGTTTGGTGGCGCACCAGGTGGGCGGGTCGAGGGCAAAATAACCAGTTTCGATAAATAGTTTGTCCTATTTTCAGTGATGGAAGAAGTACTCAGATGTTCTACTTAATAAAAGCAGCAATACTTAAATGGAAATGCTCAGGTAAAGTACAAGTACCTACAAATTGTACTTACGGACAGTACTGCAGTAAATGTACGTAGACCACTGCATATTTTACAGTATGATTATGCTTTTCAAGATAAACCTAATAACTGTGTTACCACCATTAGTGTTATACCCTGTGGAGGTCATGAGCACTTCTAATTATTTTAGGTACATGTTTCTTTTATGAGAAAACTACCTCTGTATTGCATATCTAAAGTAGTCCTATATAAAAACAAACAAAACACCTCATTATAACAGTCATTATGGAAAACGAATTAATTGTTGGTGTATCCTACATGTACTACTTCAATTAGTAGTTGATCGTATGGGTCGTTTTATTCTCTCACTGGACAGCCAAAAGACTCAAAGATGCAGGTCACACCTGTAGAGACGAAACGTGTTTCTGCTGCCCCCTGGAGCTTCAACCATGGTATGTATATATATTACTTGTTAATAGGTGTATGCACTAATGAGGACCAGCAGATGGTGGTGGAAGGCAATAATCTATTGAGTCTGGTGATTATTGATAAAAAATAAAATCACTTTTATTTGATTTCTGTTGATTATCAAATAGTTTTTACATTTGTCACATCATCACAAGTGGCATATGAAATACTTTGTTTCCAGGTTTTCCCCAACAACTAAAGGAGGTATTTTTGTATAATTAGAGCAAAGATGGTGTATAGACTGACATGTTGCATAACTACAGTAGAATGCAGAGATACATTTAAAAAAACATGGTGGTTTTAGAAAGTTTTATTTAATTTAGTTTAAAACACAGTATACCATTAATATAAATATAAAACGTGTTAAAACATAATGAGAAAAAGATGTGGAACACTGTGAAATAACATAGTCAATTAGTGCATATGTTTTATAATTAGATTGCCCCAAAACAACAGTGATCAAAATAAAATACACAGAGGGTAGGATTCATTTATATAAAAAATAGTAATTGGATCATTTAAAAAAAGAAAAAACAGAACACTTGAATCATAAACCGCTCATAAAGGAAGAAAGAAAACTTAAAGCAAAGGTTAACATAAAATAGAATCCACATTTTAATTTTTTTAAAGGATATATGGAATTTTGTGTACATTTGTCGCACATAACTAGCACTATGGCAACTCTCCTACACTCTGATACTACTACCGAAGCCCCACACACTGAATGCAGGGTAGAGGGGCTGAGTGAATATCGTCTGGATTCTGTGCAGAAGCTGCATGCCATCAGAAACACTGTAAAATGCAAGTGTTCCTGCAGAATAATCCAGGTAGATGCCGATTCGGGATGCAATAGGAGCTGCAAGATCTGTGCTCTTGTTGTTGTGCACAAAGGAGAATTTGGAGTCAGAGCAGTACAGACTCCAGGACTTGTCGTTCCAGCCCAGGCTGCACTCATTGCTGTTTCCTTTACGGCGGATTCCCCTGTAGCTAACAGCCATGTCCACCTCTGTCCCCCTCCAGTCCACCTCCCAGTAACAGCGACCATTCAGGCTCTCCCTGCACAACACCTGCATGGACCGAATGAGAGGTTAAAAGACAACGTTTAAGCATTGTTAGCTTTTAATATGAGAGTTTACTTCACCTTTGCCCAGATATGTACTGCAACTACACAAATGAAATACGTTTATAATAAGAATAACTTCAAAGATTAATAGCCTGATATGGATGGAGATTTTCATTCAATACAAACAAAAGACATGTTTCACAAAAAAGAGAAAGAAAACTAATAAAAAAAATGTTCGTGTTCTAAGTCTACTGACATTTTTTGTGGACCAATCATGCAAAATGCACTTTTGTAGGTCTTTTATACATGAATATGTGTCCCCGGTGTGTCAGGGAACTCACCAAGTGTCAGAAAACACAACCCTCTCTCTTTTCCTCCATACCCAAATCTCTAAAAACGGGGCTGCAACGGAGCTGATACAGATTTGAATTGTTCTGACGTCAGAAAAGGGGTGCTCCGCCTATATGGGCAACTCTCCACCTATCAGGGGAATGGGGGGTTGGGCCACGGCCATTGCCGCTCGAAAGCGCTGGAGACGCTGTAGTAAATATGCCAGGCCTGTAAGTGGCGCTGTAGTCTGCCACAAAAGCAGCGAAGAAGACTTCCCGCGCATGTTTGCCATGGTTGCCCTTCTGTTTATTCTCCGCTGTGGCTCTTTTTCTCCCTCCCCGAGGCAAGCGTTTGCTCCTGCTGCTGTAATTCAATGCAATCCCTCCCTCGCTGTAATTATCTCCGGTTTGCCACCAGCAGATGACAAACACCCACCTCTCTGCCTCTTCCAAGGGACGAGGGGACCGTGCGGCAGAATTTCAGTTAGATTTTTTTTCGCCGGTCAACATGTCCGTTAAAGTTTAAATCTTCCGGACAAAATTAGAAAAGTGCCGGTCAAAAGTCTTCTTTGTTATTTATTGAGCTTTAAAACAAATGAATAACGACTCTATATAATCATATAAGAATAAAACACGGAGGACGGACTCTCTCTTTTCCTCCCCCTCTTCTGACAGCCCAGCAGCTGATCTCAAAGCATGCTCCCCTCTCCTGCAGGGGGGAGTGGTCAGCTGCAGCTCATTTGCATTAAAGCTATGTCACAGAATCAGCCCTTGCAAAAACAGGGCTGGAAAAGAGCAAATAGAGCGAAATGAGGCATGGCTAAAATGCATGATCTGTTTGGTATTTTGAAAAAAAAACTGTTTTATATATTATGGCCCTACAATATATTTGTCAAATATAGCATGATAGGTCCACTAGGTGTGTCAATAAGGCATTATCTATGTTAGCATTTAGTGAGTTTATAGGATAACTTTACAGATGCAGATTGACAAAGTGTAGTAAAATAAACAACTGAATGTGTATTCAGGAGGTCTTCTGTTCAGTAGTCTAAAATATGACATCTTATGGGAGAAAAATAGCCCAAACTCACAAATCAGACCTGCGCTTTTGTGTTTGACTTCTTGATATTGTGATCATTTTGACTCTTTAGAATTCACAACCCTCTTCTCAGGCACTAAATAACTTTTTGGCGTGCTGAATATATTCTCACCTGTTGCCATTGCTCGAATCGGTCTGGGTGGTCAGGGTAATTCTTGGGCTCACTCTTCATCGTTGCTGATCGGTTACCCTCGGAGAGATGAAGGTTGCGATGGACACTGTTGACCTCCAAACTCAGCTGGCAAGAGTCTAAACAAAGCAGGACAATTTCATAATTGATCATCTCTTTTTTGTTGATCAGTATCTGTTTTCCAATGTAATGCTATATGTTTTACTATTTGTCTCTTTTCAGATGAGCACATTTTCTTCCCTTTTCCTTCTTCTTTGGGTCGTACATAAATCACCCACATAAATGGTTCGGAACAAAGTTAGTCCACTTAATCCTTGGTGAATCATTTTAATGCATCAGTTTGTTAATATGCTTTACCAAGGTGGAATTACAGTGGGAACACCTGTGTTTGTTTAAGTGATACTGAACTGTGAGTTTGCTGTCTTACATTTCACCAAACCAGTTCTACAGGCGGCATGCCTTTTGTAACACTCCGAAAATGTGTTTCACCCGATGGTGTAGTCATGCCTTTGTAAGGAAGATGTGCCTGCTATATGTCAACATGACTGTCCTGTTATGAACCTTAGTACAGAATACACTTTGGCTGAATATGAGTGGGGTTTGATATGACTGCAAAGTAGCCTTGCCAAGTTGCTTTTGCTAAAGGTTTCATGAAAGGTTAAAGGCATCCTTCTCTGTAAAATAATTTTTTTAACTCACATTTCAGGAACTCTTCTCTTGTCCTGGGTTCTTCTCTTGTCCTGGGTTCATCTCTTGTCCTGGGTTCATCTCTTGTCCTGGGTTCATCTCTTGACCTCGGTTCTTCTCTTGACCTTGATTCTTCTCTCGATATTGATTCACTCGTTGTCTTTGTTTCAACCTCCTGCGTGATGTATACATCATTCACTATAAAGAGGCAGATAAAAAACACAGGGCAGCATAAGTTTTATGAGAGCAGAAGCAGACTGAAAAAACATTCCTTAAAGGAACTAGAGAGGGGCATCAATGCTATTTGAGATGAAAATCACACATTTGTGTACCTGCTCCTGAGATTTTTCTCATTTCAGTCTTGCTGACTTCTTCTACTTGTAATTTCAGTGCAGCGATGGCTCTCTTGGTGGCATCAAAGGAGTAATTGGGAGCGGCACAGATGTTGTTGAGGTCTTCATATCCGGAGGGGCCAGACAGAGACTGCCAGCTCTGGTAAAAGAGATGAAAGATAGAAATGAGCATTAACAGCTTCTACATGTTTTCTACTAAGACTCCTGATGTTTGCACTATACAAGTTCCTCAGTTCATATAAACCTCACCTGCAGAAAGTGTATGTGATCATCGGTGTGAGAGAGCTTGTCCAGGTCAGTGTGTTTCTTCCTCAGCAGAGTGATCTCTTCTTCCAAGCGGTCCAGAAGTAACTCGGCCCGTGTCACAGTTGTCTTTTCATGGGAACGGATCATCTCTTTGACTTCATTGTATTTCCTCTCGATGGAAAGCAGAAGCTCGCTGAAGATCCTCTCGTTCTCCTCCATGGCAGTTTGAGCCGAGTGCTGAGGAGAAACATCACAAAGAGAGGAAGAGAGTTTGTTAAAATATGGATAAAAAAGCAGTTATTTTCCTTACAAAATACCCTAATGTTTGACCTATTATGTTTAAAGTAGTTTTTACTTACTTTAACTGATTCAACAGCTTGACGGAGATCCTGCCACTTTTTAACTCTCTGGTCAATCCTAGTCTGAGATGTGTGCAGTGTGGTACCAAGTTGTTTCTATAG